ATTTCTTCAGTTTGTCAGCACAATCTAGGCTTGAACTGAATCCAGCCCGCCTGCCTATGTCACATCTGGCTTTGCTATGAAAGCCCACAGCCCTGCAACTTCCCCTCCAGGAAGTGAACTCCAAATACTAGTCCAAGCTGGCTCATGTGACCTCCATACCAGATGAGATGCAGAACCAAGTTTCATAAGTAGAGAGCATCTTTGCTACCTCATGGGTGAACATATATCGTTCAGAGAGCAATGGAGATTACAGAGTCAACAGCATTAGGCTGGAGGATACTGAAAATGTCTGTACACTTATGTTGTGAACCACAACCACAAGCACCCTGCTGGGAGACCCTCTCTTACACGTATAACCAGTTAAGATACTCCATGCCACACAGGGGTATCTAACTGGAAGTCTAGGTGCCTACTATACTGTGGCTAGACACTTAACTCCAGGACCTTTAAGATGTCACTGAGAAGGGGAATGGATGCTGGGTTAGGAGTCACAAGACTATGGCTCTGAAGCTGGCTCTGCCTGCCAATTATTTGCAACTTGATCTAGTGCAAATTATTTTTATCACTGTGTGCTTTTGTTTATTAGTCTTAATCAGAAGGATAACAGGCAGACTCGGTGGTACATACCTCAGAGGCTAAAGCAGGAGGGAGGCTCCCTGAACCCATAAGTTTGAACAACACAGTAAGACACTATGAGAGAAAGAGAACAAATTTCTTCTGTCTAGTTTAAAGGGTGTTTTGTAAACAAAATGAAACACAGTGCAATATACTTAGAAAAGTTGCTCATTCCTTAGAAAAGGAAACTCTCCTACCCTACAAATGGTAAGAATATATAATAAGCAGATTAGAAGGACTTTTTATTTGTAGCTACATATGAGGGGAAAAAATCAGTAGGCACCCAGCCAACACACTTTGTGTTCCTTCTATGTTCCAGAGACAGCCAGACTGAAAGAATATTCAGAGTTGAACTACAACAGCCAGAGCAAACCATGGGAGCCCTTACTGTGTTTGAGTCCCAAGTCACTCTGGCCTAGGGGTAGCACTCAGAGGCTTAAAGTCCAGACAGGGAAGTGAAGATGAAGATTAGAAAGGAAAACAAAAGAGCAAAGGGGGGCAATAAGCTGAAAGTTGGTGGACTGTAGAAGGTATATACAGTATGGTAGAAATGCCATCCCCATATGCTCTTGCCGCCTATAGAACCAGGTGGCAAGGTCAGAGCCTTTTTTTTTTTTTTTTTGTGGTACTGGGGATTGAACTCAGGACCCTGTGCTTGCCAGGCAAGTTCTTATTCTACTGAGCTATTGTCCTGGGTCCAAGGTCAGAGCCTTACTAAGCCTATCTATGAAATCAGCAAGGGAGAGGGAGCAAATGAAGATTAAGTTCAGCTTGTCTCATATGATCCTGCCCTGGCTTACTCTCAAAGAGCTGTGGTACATTCTCAGAGTATATAGGGGGCCCCTGTTGCTCACATACAGCCCCTTGGGAGAGGACTCCCACCTCTACATACATAAAACACTCAACCTGTCCTCATATAGATGGGCTGGATTGTACTCTCAAGGCAGAGCCAATATAAAGGGTTAGAGCCAAGTCCTTAGGACCTCTTAGTCAGCTGACAAGTCTCTAGCTCCAGGCTTTTATGGAGCTCAAGCCTGTTGCAGGCTGGCTTAGGCCAAGCTGCACATAAAATCACAGGGAAGCTTTCCACACTTTTTGCAGGCCCCAAGTGGAGAAGCTAGATCGATTTCAGTGAATCTGGAATAGAGGGAAGAAGGCATCCAGGCAACTTTAGTTCACATCCATACTTGAGGCCTCTGCTTCTGCCCATGCAGGACTTACCTTCTCAATCTTGTCAGGGTCTGACAGCAAAGCAGCTCCCATTCCTCCCTAGGGAGAAGCACACAGAAGGTCTTCTTACAGCTGGGGAAGGAGGGCCCCTCCCTGTAGTGTAACAACATGGTATGGCAAACTAGTAGTCAAGTTCACTGGCAACTGGCATTTCTCCTAACCAAGTAGGAATACAACATTCATGCCCAGATAAATAGGGATTGGAGATAGAAGAGTTCCAAAACTCATCATTCTGATCCCCCTGGCAAAACCCACTGGGATATCTAGAAGTGAATTCTACAAAAAAAAATTTTTTCAGGACTTCCCATGCCATACTCAGTGTCTTAGTAAACTAAATCTTAGCACTCTGACACCTTTAAAGGCATCTCCTTTTACAATAAGATTAAATACACCTTTTACTCTCATATCCAACACTGTGTACCAATGCCACCAGTAAAGTTTCTCAGAGGCACAAATTCTGTGTAGGCCTTTCTCTGCCAGCAACAGTGTCCCAGTCCCAAAGTCCCAGTTTTATGCCAAACCCTTAACAAAAACCTCAACAAATAGAAAACACTGGTTCATGAAGCCATTTCAATCGCAGTAATAACAACGATTGTCTCTTGATGATGGAGTTATTCACCAATAATTTTCTTCCTTTTGTTTATTTATTTATCTATCTATTTATTTTTGGTGCAACCGGGGATTGAACTCAGGCTTTTGTGCTTGCCAGGGAAGTGCTTATTCCACTGAGCCATCTCCCCGGCCCCAGTTTTCTTGCTTTTAAAAATGATTTTCTAGGTTCAGTGGGGACCTGGTACCTCTTTTGTGAAGCGGCAGCTAAGAAGACTCAGGCATTCACTATGGTCGATTAACAGTCCAAGGAAGGAATCAAGACTGAGAACAATAATCACATTAATTTGAAGATTGCAGGGCAGGATGGTTCTGTGGTACAGTTTAAGATTAAGACGCATATACTTGCCACTTGAAGATATACATAAGTGAAATAAACCAGACCCACATGTGTAAATATCGTATTGTCTCCCTAGTGTAAGAACTTAAAGGAGGAACTACATATAGAAAGTTACAACACAAAAGGAAAGCGAGAACTTGAGGATTGGACAAAGGAGTGGGCAAGGAGAAAAGCTGAGACTCATGACAGGGGCCAAACCATGCATTTGTATGCACGAGATGGGTGGGGCAGTGATCCTGGGGGACATCAGCAGGTTTTTGAGACTAGCGGTTGGCTGGTGAGATGCTCACCCTGACTAACTCTACATGCTGGTGCCTGTGAGCCAGGCAGTTGCACTAAGGATGGTGACGTGTAACAGAGGGGTCACGCTTGGAGTGCCTGCCATCTTGGTCTTCTAAATATGTACTT